ACAGAGAACAAGGATAATAATAAGTTATGGGTTGCAGTTGTTTCTCAGAGCCTTGTTTTCTCTTTTTCAAACAAGTAATTGTTGAGGTGAAATTTGCGTAACACAAAATTAACCAGTGAAGTGGGAACCACCCAGCAGCATTCAGTATACTCAAAATGGTGTGTCATCACCACCCCACTTACCCTTAGTCAGAATCACCTCCTGAGTGGCTGTGCCATCTCATTCTTTCACTCAATCAATGTTGCCTTCTCAACCCTGTCGTTCTTTTCTTCTTTTGTCTTTTCAATTCGCCCCATCTGCACCCGGCCTCATTTCTGTACATGGCTTTGTATCTATCGCCGCAAGATGCACTATGCGTATTTTCACATGGAAATGTCCGTGGCCAGGGTGAGGAACTGAAAGGAAGTCTTTTTGAAATGGAATTAGGAAAACACCTACTTTTGTTTACAGAAGAGAAAGATGAATGGAACATCATCAAGGATCTTACAGGAGCCCTCTCTGATATAGAGGAAGCCTGTAAACCATTTTCTATTCTTTCTCTTGGCCACAGACATTCCTTTAAACATGTGCTGACCTTCTGCTTGGAGTTCTCCTTGAGGACATTGTCGCTCATCCCTTTCCACTGTTAAATGTTCTCTACCCTCTCACCTTAGGCAATATAAAGTCCTGGTTCACTCTCAGGCACGAGAGCTGATCCAGTTAAGGGAGAAGTTACGGGAAGGGAGAGATGCCTCCCGCTCATTGACTCAGCATCTCCAGGCCCTCCTCACTCTGGATGAGCCGGACAAGTCCCAGCGGCGGGACATCCAAGAACAGCTGGCCAAGGGGTGTAGGCTGGCACAGCACCTCGTCCACAAGCTCAGCTCAGGTAAGGTGGCCACAGGCCCTGATAACCCCAAACCCCAGGCTTATGAGAGACTCCAGACCTCCACACTTTCACAATGACGGTTGTATCGGTGGGGTTTTTCCACTAAACATATGTGGCCATGACATGACCAGGACTTCCTGGGTAAGAACAGAGATAAGAAACCCATGAGGTTGGAGGTCACAGTATTGCAAATGTCCCTCCTTCCTTGATGGAAGGTGGTCTTTAGAGCAGGAGGCAGCGTCTGTCTAGTTTTAAAGGACAGGAAGGAGGCTGTGACGGGAGGACGCTTGTTAGAGTGAAAAGAGCTCTGCACTAAGAATGAAGGTTCCCAGGCTGTCTCTTCAGCAATGTTCTTAGTAACTGTTGGTGAGGGAGTGATTTGTCTTTCCTGGGTTACTGTCTCTCATTCTGCAAAGGCAGACACATTGTCTCTTGCAAGTGTCTCTATCATTCAAATGCCGGAACACTTATGACTGCTTTTCAAAATGAGATGAAGCCCCTCGCCATGTGGTGTTGCAGAAGGCACTTGATGTGGGAGCATTTGGTGGTAGGAAGGGCTTCAGACTGGAGCACTCCTCATGGAGAGAATGTCCCTGAATAACACAGCAGAAGCCACGTGGAGGGCCTGTGCATTCTCCTGATGTATAGAGGACTGTGGGACAAGTTTGTCCTCTCCTAAGAGAAAGAATTAGTTTCTAAATGCAAACTGTGACAGGACACCAAGCCCGTGCCTGGGAATCAGATCTGTGGCGGGATGAGGGAGACAGCTGCCAAAGGCCAGAGAGAGGCTGCACAAGCCTCCAGTGATATGGGGAGCAAAACGTCTTTTCAGTGTTTGGCCACATCTTGACGGTGGCCCTTCAGATCAGAAATGCATTGCCTGATGGATCAGGAAACAACGCCAGGGCATTTTGTTAAAGATAAAACATGAAAGCTTTCAGTTCAATGCTGACCCATCATAGATGTTCATGTCTCTGTGCACATTGGGCTGACTGTGCTTGCAGAGTGTGAAGTGGGAAATATCTGAACGAACACTTCTGTATTTACAGAAGATGATGAAGATGAGGATGAAAATGATAAAGCTGAGGAGGTTGATAAAGTACAGGAATCACCTGCCCCCAGGTAAGACTGAATAATCAGGAGCAGGTAATGGGTGGTAACATATGGAAAAGGTCTCAGCAAGAACACAAAGGGAGTGAAGGTAGTCACAGATTCCGGATGCAGGATAAAGAAAGCTGCAGAGTACACTGATTTCTTGCACTCACCTAACAAGGAAATAGGCCTGTTAACATGTTTGTCCATTGTCTTCATGGTACCTTAAGGAAGACCCTCAATAAACTCACCAGCCCCAGGGACTTCCTGCACACACAGAGAAGGCCTGTTCTACCCTGTTGTGAAAACCAGGAGGAGGTGCAAAGCTGCTTTCTCCATGGTTGTCTTTAGATACTTGTTATGAATGATAAATAGCAAAGAGGCAACAAGCAGAGGAATTAGGAAGTACCTAGCAAAGTTAAACACCAGGAAAAGTACCTAGACAAAAAAAAAAAATTACATTTTATCTCACAATGTTAAAATAAAAAGGCCTAGAAGACACACCATGTCTGGAGTCTATAATGGGTCCAAAGCCTGCATTCCCTTGGCCACAGTATGTGAAATTCAACCCAGCTTAGAAACAGGGTGTGGCAGCTGTTGTCTCTCTGTGTGTGCTGTGTGTACTGTGCAGGGATAGCTGAGTCTTCATCCTCCTCAGCTCCTACCTGTCCAGTGCAATGAACACCAGTTGCTCTCTTCCTCTCTGGCTCCCATGGCAGCCATGCTCCATTGCAGAGAGAAGAGGATTGCCTGTTCTCTCTTAATGGGAATCTCTTGTTTGCTTTCTGGAACCACTCTCTTATGCCTCCTGTCAAAACCAGCTAGGACTCCCTGGGGTCCAATCCCTCTCGGTCTAATCTTCTGTCATCTCTATTCCACCTGGCTCATCAGGGAGGCACAGAAGGCTGAAGAAAAGGAAGTCCCTGAAGACTCACTGGAGGAATGTGTCATCAGTTGTTCAAATAGCCACGGCCCTTGTAACTCCAACCCGCTACACAGGAACACAAAAATCACATTTGAGGAAGACAAAGCCACCTCAACTCTGATTGTAGATGGTGAATCCTCTCAAGATGAATGGCAGGATACTCTAAACATTCTCCCAGGTAACCTCTATTTTCCTTGCGTCTCCTACCTCTGTCTAGGCTATGGAAGATCAATTCTGAGGATGGGCTGTATACACACATATTGGTTTGAGTCAGAAACTAGGATGGAGCTAGGTACGGTGACTCACACGTATAATCACAGTACTTTGGGAGGCCCAGGTGGGTGTATCACTTGAGATCAGGAGTTCAAGACCAGCCTGGACAATATGGTGAATCCCATCTTTACAATAAATACAAAAAATTAGCCAGGCATGCTGCTGCATGCCTATAGTCCCAACTACTCAAGAGGCTTAGGTGGAAGAATTGTCTGAGCCTGGGAGGTAGAGGCTGCAGTGAGCCGTGATTGCACTGCGACACTGCAACTTAGGCGACAGAGCAAGAACCTGTGTCAAAAAGAAAAAGAGAGAGAGAGAGAGAGAGAGAGAAAGAGAGATAGATAGAGAGAAGTGAAAGAGGAGAGAGAGAATGAGAAACTAGGATGGAATATTAAACACAGATACCAGTGGATCAGAGAGCTTTCCTGTCCTCCTTGGACTATGTCATACCTTTGTCATCCTGGCCCCAGTATCAGGTTATTGGAACAGAGGCAGGTGTGACAAAGCCATAGCTACCCATGTACAGGAGGAGTACAGGAGGTATCTGTCAGGCCTCTTAGCTCAGTTCCTATGTCTCTTGTCAGCTGCAATGGTGTAATCTGTGTCTCTGAACAATGTCCGTGGAGTTTCTTTGCCTGTCTGAGACCACTGACAGCCTTGTCCATTTATTTGAAGATGTTGTTTCCCTGGTTTCACTCTCCTCATCTCCAGTCTGGATCTCCTTTAAACCAGCTTGTCTCAGCTATTCAGTCAACTGAAACCAGGACATCAACACTTGTACCCTTATCTTGCTTATAAGTTTCCATAAAGCAAGCCTGGGTCCTGAGTTCTTCACCCCATGAGTGGCCACTGTTTCTGTGTAGCACCACAGATTTCTTTTCTTTCTTTCTTTTTCTTTTTTTCCTTTTTTTTTTTTTTTTCTTGTGATGAAGTCTCACTCTGTCACCCAGGCTGGAATACAGTGGCGTGATCTTGGCTCACTACAACTTTTGCCTCTAGGGTTTAAGTGATTCTCTTGCCTCAGCCTCCCGAGTAGCTGGTACTTCCAGTGTGCGTCACCACGCCTGGCTAATTTTTGTATTTTTAGTAGAGGTGGGGTTTCACAATGTTGGCCAGGCTGATCTTGAACTCCTGACATCAAGTGATCTGCCTGCCTTGGTCTCCCAAAGTGCTGGGACTAGAGGCATGAGCCACCTGCCAGCCCCACAGATTCTTTTTTAAGCAAAAGTTGTTAGAATTAATCTATCAGTTCAGTTTTCTATATAAATTTCTCTAACCATTCATTGACCATGATATATGAAGAGATAAATCAGTATTGCAGCAGCAGTTCTGGAAATCAGTTAGGGCAATTTTTGAAAATCTTAGGGAAAATGATTTAATTGTTTGTGCTGACTCAGGTCAGAGGATATAAGATTAAGATCCACCAGATGAGGGAGATTTTGTCCCATGGATCTGAAAAGCAGGCTCATCTACTTCTGTCAAGACTTAATCTAGGGCACATTAGAACGTTCCTGTCAGAATATCACATTCTTACACTGAGAATATTTATGTCCTTGTGCTATGACTGGACACTGATTTGGTCTTGTGTGAAGCGTGATTTGCTTAATGTGACCTGCTCTTCTGAATTTGTTTACAGAAAATCAAAATGATCATGAGGAAGAGGAAGGGAAAGCGCCAGTGCCCCCCAGGTAATGCTGTAGGTTTGTGGGATGTTAGTACAATAGTGACACCGGGAGACTGTAGATCCAGGGAAAAATAGAAAGTGACGAACAGAACTGCCTCATCCATTCATCCAGCTGCAAATTATACGTTTTAACAATGCTGTCTTTTTGATTGTGGTACTTGAGTAGGTTACACATTTCTTTCTTTCTTTTTTTTTTGAGACAGAGTCTTCGCTGTGTCTCCCAGGCCAGAGTGCAGTGGCATGATCTCGGCTCACTGCCAGCTCTGCCTTCTGGGTTCATGCCATTCTCCTGCCTCAGCCTCCCAAGTAGCTGGGAATACAGGCACCTGCCACCATGCTGGGCTTTTTTTTTTTTTTTTTTTTGTATTTTTAGTAGAGATAGGATTTCACCGTGTTAGCCAGGGATGAATCTTGATCTCCTGACCTTGTGATCCACCTGCCTTTACCTCCTAAGTGTGGGATTAACTTACAGGTGTGAGCCACCCGCCGCCTGGCCAGGTTTCATTTCTTAATCCCCTCTTGCATAGGAATATGCAATCAGTTGAGCCAGGTGAACTAACCAAACTCAGGGATGTCACCTGTTTCTTCCCCATGTGGTTAATCCAGAGTGAGATGCATGTATACTTTCTACATATTTGATGTCAGCGTGTTGGCAAGTATTTCATTACAAAACAGGGAAATGGTAATTTATGTCAAAATATTTTAAAAATGGGCTTTGAAAAGATAAGATCTGTGTATCTGGAATGCCTCAAGAGCTGTGTTTACTTGGGTGCTGCATGTAAACATCAACACATTTAAGCATAGGAAGCCAAGCCCTGTGTCAGTTCTCTGCACTGCAAGTCGTGATCGCGGTTTACAGGGAGAGTCTGGGACCTCCCGCAGCAGCTCGTTTGTGGCAAACGCGCTGAGCACCTGCTGCTTGCGTTTGCTCTGTCCCCAGGGCGGTCACATCCACCCCACATTTAGAAGGATAGATTTTTCTCTCTTGGAGGAGACTACCCCTTCGGTTTCTGTGACCACTCCCTTATGTGTCCCATGAAACCACCTGAGATGCTGTGGTGGTGAATCCCTCTTGTCACTCCTCTCCTGTCTGGCGCATCAGGAAGCTGCAGGAGTCTGAAGAGAAGGAAGTGCTGCAGGACTCTCTGGAGGAAAGTGTTTTGACTTCCTGTAGTCACCATGATATGTCCCAATCTTACCAGCCTTGCGAAGCCACTTTCTTGGCACTGGACGAACAGAAAGTTTGCTCTGCTCAGGACGTAGCCAGCAAACACTCCAATTCCAAAGGAGAGGAAACCCCACTTGGCTTCCCAGGTAGGCTCCCTATTCTTGGCACCCCACGACCAGTCTAGAATGACAGATGCTATACCTTCAGATGGACCCTATACTCATATACTGGTTAGAACCAGGCTCTAGGATTGAGTTTGAAGAAGGCATCCCATGAGTCAGAGAGTTTTGCTCCATCCTAGCTGCAAATCACATGTCATCTTTCATCTTTGCCCCACTAGCAAATCACGGTACCCAAGGTTGACCTGACAAATTCACATGCACCCCTACGGCCTGGATGCGGGATTTATCCATCAGTCCTCCCAATTTAGATTGAATCTGTCATCTCACATGGGATTTCTACCCAAACAGCCTGAGTTTTTATGCTGTCCAAGGCCATTGGCAGCCATTTCTATATTCCTGGGGCTGTCATTACTCTTGTTCCCTTCTGTCAGGCTAGACACTGTCTCTTTTTAGTTGGCTTGTCTTAGCTAAGAAATCTCTGAGTACCAGAACATGAACACCACTATTGGACTTTTGATGTTTCTCTGAAAGAAGGCTGGGCCCTGGAACTCCCTACAAGATGAAAGGCCAGTGTTTCTGCAGAGCATGAGAGATTCTTTTGACGCAATCTATCCTTCTAAATGTGAATTCTACAAAACCACCAACGGTAACTTATCAGAAGGAAGCATGCTGAATACTGCAGTAACCCTCCTAGAAAGCATTGAAGTGGATCCCCAGGATCTCTCAGTAAAAAAGGATGTGTTTAACTGTGCTGTGGCTCAGGACAGAAGGGACTGTGATGATGACCTGTTATGTTAAGGAGATTTGCTCCATGGCTCAGGAAAGTAAACCTAGTGGCTTCTCACAAGGCTCATGCTGAGGCCTCCTAGGAAGTTCCTCTTACAATAGGCTGTTATGACACTGAGTGTATTTATGCCACTGTGTAGGTTTGGACACAAGTGTGTGCATGTATGAATGGGATCAAGTTCATGTGACTGGTTTTCTCTCAATGTATTTGCAGAAAAGCAACTTGGTCTTGAAGAGGTGAAAAGACAAGAAACAATTACTCCCAGGTAATTGAGAAAAATCAGGAACTGTCAATTCAGGGTGATATCTGTACAACTCATATCCACAGAGAACCAGAAAGTCCTGAATATACCTAATGCATCCCTTCAGCCAACCAGAAATGATCCTTTTGGACAATGTTTTCTGTTTTCATTGTGATACTTGTCCTATTTGCCATTTCTTATTTGCCATTTCTTATTAACTTCTCAAGTTCCGTACACAAAACCAGTTGACCTTGTGAACAACTAATCAGTCACAGAGATTTCCTGCAAGCAGATATGTTCTTCTTATGGTTTCAACCACCCTGAGATGCATATCTGCTCTCTGCTGGTTTTGCATTAGGACAGTGGTGAGTATTCCACGGCAAGAAAATTTGATAGAAAAATTATTATTATACCATGCCACGAGATTAAGAGAAAGGGGACTTGATGACATGAGATTTTGAGGATATTATAATGCCTCAAAATCTGTACTTACTTGGCCAATACATATAAAATTCAATACAATTTAAGAAAAAAGGATGAAACCACTGTTCTGGGACATGATAATCAGTAAGTCATGACTGTACCATATAGAAACACTCAGTCTCCTGCCTCAGAAAATCATAATCTGGCCAATTCATGGAGTACCTGATGCTTCTCTCTCTCTTGTCTCTCTTTCCCTCTGTATTGCTCACCTACCCCATGGCAACCACACTGCAACCCACCAAGAAGAGGAGAATATTGAACTCTTTAATGGGTTGACCATTTGCTTTCTGTGATCGCTCCTTCATGCCTCACATGAAATCCAACTAGGGCTCTGAAACTTTTTGGATTAATCTGTAGTCCTTCCTACCCTGCAGGCTCAGCAGGGAACCGCTGAGGGTGGACAAGCATGAAGTCCCCCGGGAGTTACTGGATAGATGTTATTTGATTGCTTCTGTTCTTCCTGACCTGACTCACTCCTGCCAGCCTTATAGGAGAACTTTGTATTCTTTTGAAGAAAAGCAAGTCAGCTTGGCTCTTGTAGACAGTGAGTACTCCATTGTGAACATGATAAATCTCTTATTGGTACCCCAGGCAGACTTTGTAATCCTTGCACCTCGCACTTCTGGCTGGACTTAGACGTGTCATTGGTGTGGGCATCACTCGTAGACACAGGTTGATTTGCTGGAGCTTAGGCTGTAATGTTGGCTCTCCTGCTACCCACCTCCTTCTCTATGGCCTGGTTCCTGACAGGCCATGTATCGGTGCTGGTCTGTGGCCTGGGGATTGGGGGCCCCTGTTCTAAATCATCAAAACCTGAGTATTTGGTGAAGAAGGCTGAATATTACAGTCTCCCTCATACAATGCAATTTAGCTATTTCCCTAGAGTCTGTGGGGAAAAGGATTACTTCACTGTTTGGCCAGAGTCAGAATGGAGGATGTTGGGATGATGGCCTACTAGCACAGGCAGATTTTGCCCCATGGCTCAGGAAAGTCAATAAGCCAGTTTTCTCAAGACACGACTTTATGCCTCCTGAAATATGTCTCTCGCAGTATCCTGTTCTCATACTGGAAAGTTAGATGTCTCTGTGTTAGGACTGGACAGTGAATTGGACATGTGTGGAGGGGAATCAGCTTAATGTGACAGCCCTGTCTGAATTTATTTGTAGAAAATCTAAATAACAGAAAGAAGATGGAAGACCAACAACTACTGTGCCCCAGGTAAGTCTCAGGAACTGTAGACTGTTCATTCACTGTTGACAGCTGGAGACTCCAGACCTAGGTAAAACAGAAAGTGCTATATATATATATATATATATCCTTTCAGCAAGTCACAAATTATCCCTAGTCATAAGATTGTCTATTTTCATGGTGGCACCTGCATAGGATCCCATTACTTCCTCCCTCTGACATTTAGTAACCCGCAGTTGGTTACTCAGGTCAACACACCTGACTAGGGAGCTCCTGCAATTGCCCCTTCTCTCTTGGGTGCGGGGCCACAACCAGTGTGATGCAGACTTGATTTTGGCTTGTTTCTCTTCATCATGTGTTAGGACTTTGGTAATAGGAAAAGGAACTAGAAAAAAACCATAGCCTGTCACTATATTGAGAATAAGAGGCCTGAAGGTGAAAGGTTTTGGAGGCTACACTTCCTCTAATGCTACAATCATGTACCTATTGCTTATCAACTTCAACTCATTTTATGCAAAACCACTGAAGCCACTGCTTTAGTAATCTCTCCATACTGTGTGTCATGAGGGTGATAATAGAGGGCTTCCTTTCTCCCTCCCCATCGCCTTATAATCTGGCCAGTTCCCTGAGCACAGCCCCACACCACATTCCCTTGGAAGCCACACTTTATCCTACAAATTAGAGGATACTTTTCCTCCTTTTAAATAGATTCCCATCTCTGATTTCTGCAACCACTGTCTCAAACCTTCCACCAAATTCAGGTAGACCTCCGTGGCACCTGATCTTCCATGGATTAATTTTTAGACCTTCCTACCCCAACAGGCTCAATAGGCAACTGCTACAGGTGGAGGAGCATGAAGTCCCTCAAGAGTCATGGGATGAAGCTGACTCGACTCTTCCGATCCCTCCTGACCTGACTGACTCCTACCAGTCTGATATGAGGAGTGCCCTGCATTCATTAGAGGAATGGCAAGCCTGCGTGGCTCTTGACGTAGACAGTGAGTACTCCGTTGTGAAGGTGATATAAGTCCTAGGTGGACCCCAAAATCCTTGGGCCTCCCACCCGTGGCTGGACTGAGAGTTGTCAACACTGTGAACTGGACCTAGATATACATGTAGACTTGTATCACTCTGGAATCGAGTCTGAAACAAAGATGTAAGATTGGGTCCATGAACTTTGGCCTCTTCCTAGTCTCAGGCCATTCTTGTGGCATCCTGGATCAACTGTTAGGACACTGGACCCCAAGCAGGTGTGAAAAATTCACACCAGTGTACGTAACACATGCCCAACAGGTGTCTGTCATAATCTGAATAAACTTTGTCTTGCCAGCTATTGTGTTCCTTACAAGTTTCCTTCCCCAACCATGTTCCTTCAGGTTCTATGCCTGCCCAAGGCCAGTGGCATCTTTGACTACATTTCTGTTAGAGATATTACCCAGATTTCAACGAACCAAGCCTCATTCTCTGTGTCTTCGATGTTGGCCTGTCTTAGCAGAGCAGTCCATTACCTTTTGTTATGTTTGCAGAAGCAAGACTGGGCCTCGTCACTCCTAGAGGCCACGAATAGCCAATGTTTCTTTATAGCACCAAAGATTCGTTTTGATTCAAGAGTCTGTTGATTCCCCCCTTCATTCTAATTTCAGTGTCTAACATCCTCGCAACCATGAACAATGTGGATATTTAATGATAGAAAGCTAGATATTTCCGCTAGAAAGCAGTTGGGGTATTTGCTTTAAATTGGTGTGAAAAATGTTGCATAACTCTTTACACAAAATCAGGAGTGATGATATTGGGATGATGATCTACCACAACAGGGAGATTTCACCCCTAGGCTTAGGGAAGAAACCCAGAGCACCTCTCTCATGACAGGACTTCAGGTCTCCTGGAATATTTCTCTCACAGTGTCCTGTTCTCCCACTGAGGAAACCGATGTTCCTATGTTAGGATTGCACAGTGGATTGTTTGTGTGTGTAGGGGAACCTGCTTAATGTGTCTGTCCCTGTCTGAATTTATTTGCAGAAATTAACAAGGATCAAGAGGAGCTAGTCGACCAAGACCCACCATGCCGCAGGTAACTCTGAGGAATCATGGACAGTCAATTCAGTGTTGATATCTGGAGACTCCACATGCAGGGAAAATCAGAGAGGGTGCTGAATATACCTGTTTCATCTGTTCAGCCAACCATGAAATAGCCATGTTCATAATGTTGACTCTGTTCATTGTATACCTATATTTGTTTTTTCTCCTTATTAATCCCTGTAAATTGTACTAGTCTGCATTCAGTTGACTCTGTTGAACTGATCAATCACAGACATTTTCTGTGGTCCTCTTTTCTGTCCTTTTTGCTTAAAGTGAAGAAGAGGTGCACATCTGATGTCTGCCTCTTTGACAATACCATGTTTGCAAGTATTTGATAGCAGGAAAGTAAGCGAAAATTACTCATGTCCTGCTACAATATTGAGAGCAAGGGATGTTGAGGATGCACTCTGTCTGTGAAGCCTTACGAGGCTGTATTCATTTGGCCAGTGACGCTAATTTCAACAAATGTATGCAAAAGTGCTGAATGCACTGTGTCATGGCCATTTCTCACAGGGATTGTTCCATCTCTTTCCTCCCCAGCTCATTGTCTGTCCAGTGCACCGAGCACCTGCTGCTCTCTGTCTCCTGCTCGAGACAGGGAAGCATCCTTGTATCTCTCTGAGGGGACTGTCCTTTGCTTCCTCTGGTCCCTCCTGTGAGCCTCCCTATAGACTCAGCTGAGTACAGTGGTTTTGGTTCTCTCTGGTGTTTACCTTATGTCGTCTTTACCCACCAGACTGAGGCAGGAGCTGCTAGAGGTGGAGGAGCAGGAGGTCCCAGAGAACTCCCTGGATGAAGTTTACTTGACTCCTTCGGTTCCCCATGACCTGTGTGACTGCCACCAGGCTTATAGCAGCACCTTGTACTCACTGGAGGATCAGCTCGCCTGCTCTGCTCTAGATATAGCCTGTGAGTACTCCAGCCTGAAGGTCACAAAGCTCCACTGTTCTCCCAGGCAGCCCCTATCTGTTTTGCTTTGTGCAACTTGTACAGCTGAGGCGGTTCATCTCTGTAGGCAGGCCCTGTATACTGAGCCTGTTTTGAATCTGGCTCTTGGATCTAGTTTTAAGCACAGACATCCACTAGGTGGAACTTCCTCTTCTGTCCCAACTGGCTCATCTGTCACCTGGCATCTTCTCACAAGAGCAGGCTGTGCGTATCCAAACAGACCAGAGAAGGGGATGGTGAGGGATCGTTGCAAAATCTTGACAACAGTAGCTCACCTGGAGAAATCTGTATAACAGACTTTCTTTTTTTATTTTATTATTTCATTTTATTTTACTTTAAGTTCTGGGATACATGTGTAGAATGTGCATGTTTGTGACATAGGTATACATATGCCATGGTGATTTGCTGCGCCTATCAACTTGTCATCTAGGTTTTAAGCCACGCATACATTAGGTATTTCTCCTAATGCTCTCCCTCCCCTTTCCCCTCAACCCCCAACAGGCCCTGGCATGTGTTGTTCCCCTCGCAGTGTCCATGTGTTTTCATTGTTTAACTCCCACTTATGGGTGAGAACATGCGGTGTTTGGTTTTCTATTCCTTTGTTAGTTTGCCCAGAATGACGGTTTCTAGCTTCATCCATGTCATTCACTCTGCAAAGGACATGATCTCAATCTTTTTTATAGCTGGTGTAAGGAAAGTGTAAGGAAGGGGACCAGTTTCAGTTTTCTGGATATGGCCAACCAGGTTTCCCAGCACCATTTATGAAATAGGGAATCCTTTCCCCATTGTTTGTTTGGTGAGGTTTGTCGAAGATCAGATGGTGTCATTCTTTAAGATAGGGCATCTCTCTTTTCTGAAATTATGTTGCTAACTGCTGCCCTGAGCAGTGCCCTTATCTCTTTTCTGGCCACCCACATGTGCTTGCAGTTTTGCTCAATTATTTTGGAGGTCTGTTTCATGATTTCTGTGTCCCAAGCTAGATTCTCTACTTTAGGGGTCCCCAACCCCTGGGGCCATGGACCTGTGTTGGTTCATGATGCAGAGGAGGTGAGCAGTGGGCGAGCATTACCGCCTGAGCTCCGCCTCCTGTTGGATCATCAGCAGCATTGGATTCTCATAGGAGCTTGAACCCTATCGTGAATTGTGCATGTGAGGAGTCTAGGTTGTGCACTCCATATGAGAATCTAATGCCTGATGATCTGTCACTGTCTCCCATCACCTTCAGATGGGACCAACTAATTGCAGGAAAACAAGCTCAGGGATCCCAATAATTCTATATTATGGTGAGTTGTGTAATTGTTTCATTATGTATTACAATGTGATAATAATAGAAATAAAGTGCACAATAAATGTAATGTGCTTGAATCATCCCAAAACCATCCCCCCACCCTGCTCCATGGAAAATTGTCTTCCTTGAAACTGGTCCCTGGTGCCAAAAAGGTTGGTGACTGCTATTGTATTTCCTCTGTGGTAGCTTCCCTCCACTGAAGCAGTCTAGTGTCCTTTCCTCCATGCAAGGACATAGCTTACATCCTCTGTAGAGCGCTAGTAGATTTTACATGGATGGGATTGTAGTTTCAACCACGTGTTGGTCTCAGTGCTATATTCTCAGAGAAGCCATTGACAACTCGTATATCTGATGAGGTGCTGGCCTAACTGATGAACAAAGCAGAGTGGTTCCCGTCCCCACGATCTCCAGAAAACCCTTCCTCTTAGCAACTTCCCCTTGAGACAGCAGCTTCACAGGATGTGTAGAGAAAAATATCCAACGTTCATTTCTTCTTGCTCATTCTATTTTTTTTTTTGAAACGCAGTCACTCTGTCACCCAGGCTGGAGTGCAATGGCATGGTATCGGCTCACTGCAACCTCCACCTCCCAGGTTCAAGCAATTCTTGTGCCTCAGCCTCCTGCGTCACTGGGATTACAGGTGCCTGCCACCACGCCCAGCTAATTTTTGCCTTTTGAGATGGAGTCTTGCTCTTGTTACCCAGGCAGGAATGCAGTGGCACGATCTTGGCTCACTGCAACATCCACCTCCTGGGTTCAAGTGATTCTTGTTACTGAACCTCCCAAGTAGCTGGGATTATAGGCACCCACAATCATGCCTGGCTGATATTTGTATTTTTAGTAGAGATGGGTTTCACCATGTTGGCCAGGCTGGTCTCGAACTCCTTACCTCAGGTGATCCACCCGCCTTGGCCTCACAAAATGCTGGGATTATAGGCATGAGCCACCGTGACTGGCCTAATTTTGCCTTTTTAGTAGAAATGGGACTTCACTATGTTGGTGAGGCTGGTCTCCAACTCCTGGCCTCAGGTGACCGGCCTGACTCGGCCTCCCAAAGTGCTAGAATTACAAGCATGTGCCACCATGCCTGGCCTGATTGTTGGGGATTTTACCCATCAAATCATCTTCTAGTAAGAGCAAGGAACTCTGTGATGTCCCCCAAAATATATGAATATTTTATAATGAAATTAGCAACAATGCCAGGTGCAGTGACTCACTTCAGTAATTCTATCGCTTTGAGAGGTCGAGGGAGGGGGCTTGCTTGTGCTCAGGAGATTGAGACCAGTGTGGGCAACATGGCAAAACACTGTCTCTACAAAAACTTAGCAGGACATGGTGACACACACCTGTAGTCCCAGTTACTATGCAGGGGGCTGAGGTGGAAGGATCATCTGAGCCTGGGAAGTTGAGGCCTCAGAGAGCTGCGATTGTACGACCACACTCCAGCCCGAGCAACAAGGAGACCTTGTCTCGAAAAAAGAAAAAAGAAAGAAAGAAAGAAAGAAAGAAAGAAAGAAAGAAAGAAAGAAAGAAAGAAAGAAAGAAAAGAAAGAAAAGAAACTAGCAACAAAAATGTTGGCCTCTAGCTATTTTGGTAAGTGCCTTTGATGTTGGGACCATCCCCTTTCCTGTTTTCCATTTCTCCCTGAGTTTCAAAGAAGCAAAGGCTTTTTTTAGGATCACAGCAATTCATGAAACAGAAATAAAATACACATTGACTTTGCATCGGCTGTATGCCAGGCCCCTTGCTAAGCAAGCTCTGTCCTTGCTGTAACTCGTTCAGTGCTCCAGGGACACTCCCAAGTTTGCGGTGGCATCTCCATGTTAGAGCTGAGGATGCCGAGGCTCAGAAAGGTCCACTCACCTGCCCAGGATGTCTTGACTAGTTGCAGTGGGAACATAAGTCCCATATCTACCTGACTCCAGAGCACAGTCGCTGTTATTTATTTCTGTGTTGGCGGGAGAACGTGTCAGGGCTGAGCCGACATGGGTGCTCACCCTTTTTTCTTTTGTAGAAATTAATTTGGAAAGATTTCAAGTTGAAACAGAAAAGTTGCTAGCCTGGTACAAAGAACTCCTGCAGCCCCTGGCGCAGATTCCCGAAGGAGGAATGCCTCTGTGCGCTTTGCCTGTGAGCAGAGCTAGTGGCTCCTCCAGCCCCTCCAGGGGGACCTACAGCTCCATGGGGCTCTCCTTGGAAAATCACACAGGGGATGAAAGGTCTTAGTCTCTCCCCAGCCCCTGTCCCCAGGGTTTCTACTCTCAACTTGGCCATCCTTGAGCCCCTGTAAATCTGCAGGGCTCTGTCTGAGGAGCACCCCAACCAGGACAGGGCTTCTACAAGGAGGAAGGGAAGTGCTCAGACACATGTCTCAGAAGTGATATGCCTCTGATATGGGCCGGCTCTGCCAGAGCATCATGAAACAGGGGCCTGGGGAGGCCACCATCCTCCAAGCAGATGGGTTGAGATGAATGAATGCACCTGTCAAATTACACAAGGATGCATCCTGTGTGTGGGTTCATGACAATGGTGTGTGAATAGTGTGCACAGTGCACAGCCCTGACCCCAGCAGCGGTTTCCACAGGTGATCTGCTCCATCCATCCTCTCCTTACAGAGGAAAGCTTGGTAGAACCAAGGAGAATACAACCTAAATGATCACTTGATCTATAATTGAGCGCTTTTTCCCACCTGCCCAACTCACAATACTACCGTATTTTAGAAGCTTGAGAAAATATTTTCCCTTTTCTCCTGAAAATGCAAAGAATATTCAAAGTATAAGTTTAATAAGACTCAGTAGTCTAGCAAAGAGGGACAAAATGACATGACAAAATTAAGTAGTGATAATTTAAAACATTCCTAGACATTGATTCTAAACAGCAAGTGCAGAGGAACAGAAAGAGAGACCTGTGTTTGCCCAGTCTTCACCAATGAGATTTGTTGTTTCAGCATATTGTTCTCATTTGCCCAATATGAACTATCATAAAATCTTAGAGTGTCTTAAGTGACTGATGGTTAACGATCAGTAAACTGTGCCCTGAGTAACTAAGGAGGCCACACCAAGCCAAGAGAAGTGCTGCTGGACAAAGACCCAGAAACTGGAAGGCACCCTGTGCAGGGCTGGGCCAGGGAGCAGCCAGCCTGACCCCAGGGGAGACTCTGTGTGAGGGAGTGGTGGGAGGTGATGCTGGATAGGATCATGGGGCAGAAGACAGTAGGAGCACACAGGCAGAGTGAGCGGGGAGAGTGGCACAGTGGGCAGCAGAGAGTTTTCAGAAGCAGAGTAGGAACGTGGAAAGAACAGGGCTTTTGGGTGATAAATTGCTTGTGGTATAATTGCTCGTGTGAAGATGGCAGAATCAGAGAAAGAAGTTGCAGGGGTGTATGAAGTCAGGCATCAGTGATGAGTCTGATATACTGTCCTCTCAGGAAGATGAAGGAGAACAGACACACGGAAGGCATTTTTAATAAAACTTAGAGAACTCTTGATGAGAATGAGGATGTGCAGAGGGGAGGAGAGAGAGGAGGCCTGCAGCAATGTGGGTAAGGCCCTGAGGGCCCCATTCCTCTTCTGAGGCAGATCTGGACTGGCGTGAGGCCACCGGAAGTCTTTCCTTAGTCCACTTTCTGAGAGTGTGATTTCCTCTTCCTGTGGAAATAGCGATCATTTTTATGAGGGGTGCTGCCCGGACCCCACTGGAGGAGCGGGTAAGATGACGACTGTGCTCGGTGTTATCTCCCTACAGAACCACACACGCTGATCGGTAATACCTGTGGCCCCTAAGTGTCCGTGAAGGGACTGGTCCCTCTAATACTTTGCTTATGGCTACTGAGAACCTTCATATGGCAATAAGATGTATATGTGTGGGCAGGTGGTAAAACCATTATAGGCAATAGGAAATTCAAAATGTCCCGGAACCCTGAAAAGCTTTCCTCATTTAGTGTTTGGTCTATAGGATCCCAGCCCCCTTTTCCATGGTTCTTTCTCAAAGCCTGGCGGCTCTAACTCTTGCCCTGTTCTTATACCCCTCTGTGTGGAGAGAAACAACTTCTCCTCTCCTATGCTCTGAGGGCTCTCTAGAACTTTCCCTCTAGACCACCGGAAAGAGATCAATAATGACAGAATAATTAGCATGACCTTGTTAGCCAATCCAAAGCCCTCTGGGCTGAAACAAGGGTATTTCACTTCAGGGACGCCCAGCCTGGGCACCTGCCATCTCAGCATCCCCAGGCACAAACAGGAAAGGTGACCATGCCTGCATTTACATGATGTCTGTCTGCGTGGCCTGGGTCACTGGGTGGCTTTACTGAGAGGCAGGGACATCAAGGATAGGCGTTCTGGGCATGCGTAACAAATGGAAAACTGAGGTTGTTCCTACTGAAGACCCTTCTCTTTCAGCTCCCACCCAGACAGCTTGTCCCCACCGGCCTTGGAGTGGAGACTTGAGCCACCACCTGTCAGAGGTTGAGGCTTCACAGGCACAGCCGGAGCTGAGAACCCTGGTGCCCAATTGTCTGCGACTGCAGCTGGATCAAGGGTTTGACTGTGGCTATGGCTTAGCCAGGCCGAGCGTTTCCTCCACCACCTGCAGCTTCACAGCCAACGCTGATCCTGGGAAGCAATGGCCCTTCCAAGGTAGGAAGGAAAGGGGACCAGGAAGCTCTAATCCGGGTGTTGGTGGTCATGGTGTTGTGGGTGGAGGAGACAGTGGGGCCTCTTCATGCTTCCTCAGAGTCAAGTTGAAATCCACGATGCTCCAACCCGGTGAAGTGAGCAAGAGCCTGGGGCTTAGGATCAAATTTGCTCTCAGGCTCTGGCTTTGCCACTGTCTGGTTGTTCGCTTTGGCCAAGGTTTTTATCTTTTTGCTATTTGTATCTCAGTTCCCTCATGTGAGATACCTGAAAAATCATATCTACCTGTAATCATTATTGAGAGTATTAATTATGATAATTTCCAGAGGGCCGGATTCAGTAACAATTGCTCAATAAACCTATGAATAGATGATATCGAATCCTTTTCTCTTTCTGGCAAATTCACACTTAGAAAGTGACTTCACATGCGGTGTTTCATCTGCGGTAGAGCAATTGTTAGGATCTCTGCTTTCTGGGGACCCCTCTTCCGTTGCTTTCTTAGAAAGTCTCCTTTGCCAGCTTTCTTCCTCTCATTACCCATCCCTTATGAGGCCAATCTTCTTTTACCAGACACTTTCAATAATAACCTATTAGGCACATTCAGTAAAAGTGTAAATCCTGGCCCACAAGTCAGTCTCCTGACGTACCCAGCTTCTTCTGCTTTTTCAGCTTTTTTTGAAATAAAAGGGCAACCTTCTCATGGAAAGTGTACAAATCAGTCTCTTTTATGAAACTCCATTTAATTCATCATCTCTACTACGTCCACAGCCATATCCTCAGTTTCCTTCTTCCAGGGATCCACTTCTGCTCAGATTTCCTTAAAACCCTGGATCGTGTTCATCCTTACTCTCCGTCCCACTCAATATCTCCTCCTGGAGCCCCTGGGGCTGCCTGGTGCTCATCTGTCAGGCGATGCCCTCAGCTGAAGAATAAGGAGACCCATGTCCTCAGGAGGAGGGAGGGTCACGTGATATAACGAGCACCATCTGGGTCCCTGAAGAGGACACATGGAAGGCGCTCAGTGAGTGTCAGCGAATGCATAGTCCCTGACATGTGCCGTGATAACTTCGAATATTTAAACATATTTCTTCCCACTGGAATCTCTTTTGTTTCTCCATGGATTCCCACACCCCCAGCCAAGACTCACCCCACTGGCTCAGACACGCCCTCTCTTGCTCATTTTCCCTGGAGTCTAGAGCATGAACCAGGCTCCAGGTAAGAGGACAGAATGAATGCCTTTTGTTTTCTTTTCCTTCACCTGGTGATTTCTCCTGGCTTTCCAACTGGTCATTTGTTTCTCACCACACTTTTTCTTCTCAATATTCTCATGTTTCTATTTTTTTCCAATTTTTATGGATGAGAAGAGTGGTTATACTGTTATATTCAATAGCTCCCATATCCCTGTATAATATTTTTGTTAGATTAATATGTATATATAGATATATGCATTTGTATCATTTGTCATATATATTAAGCATATTTGGTGTGTATGTTATATAGGGTATATATACATGCAGGAGATCATATAATGATGCAAGTTTTGTAACTTCTCCATGTTTAGTCTTCCTGGTTCTTTTCTCTCATCAGCTGCTGTCACCTCTGTCTGATCTCACCTCTGTGCCCCATGGGCTGCCGCCTTGCCAGGCCCTGCCATCGCCTTCTCCTGTTTGAGCTCAGTTCTGATTTCACTTTGATTTTGCTTGAGTTTTATAATCTCTTCCTTCCCAAAAGCACAGTCTATATACAGTGTGATTTCCTTGCCTTATCTACTTGTAATCTACTTGTGTTTCTTAATCCTCTGTTGTTTGAATATTTTTGTGAACTGGGAGTGTCTTTGCTTCCTGGCAATCTTGTAATCTGGCTAATGTAAGAAAGATCAACAAAAAGAAAATATCAAAGTGACTCCATTGGCTTTGGACGCCACTTTTCCTTATTTGATGTTCTTTGGGTAGGAGGAAAGTCACAGTGAGAACATGGATGCCAGTGGATCCCATTGTCTGTGGTTTTATTTTCAGAGCTGGGTTCGGAGCCTTGCCTTGGAATGAAGAACCCTCCCCAGCTGGAAGGTGATGGTCTTGAAGGCTCAACCGACAACACACATGGGCATCAAGTCATTGGCCACATTCATGCCTCAAGTGTCCTAAAACTGAAAATGATCAAAAGAAAACCGCCGTTCAGCAGGTGGAGACTGGCATGCAGATTCCCTGGCCTGCAAGCTTAGAGCAGGAAAGTAATCACATCTATGGCTCTTAGCGGCACTCACTCCTTATTTCTCCCTGTCTATGATGATAGCTCATTCTCCCACTGCTTTTCTCTTCCCTATTTGTGGGTATTGTCTGAGGCCCCTGGTGCTTCTCACATCCAGGTTCTTCCCGTAGTCTGCTCTCCCGCTCCTTCCCAGAAGACTAGGACATGGAGTTGTAAGGGGGTGGGTTTCTCTGCAAAGGGCCCTCTCCTTCTACAGCCCTCTGCTTCTGAGTGTGCATGGTTGACGCTGAGCACATCCTCTCTGGGAGGTGTGAAAAGCCATCACTGCTCCGGACAAAGGGGATCAGAACGAAAGGGTCATCGGCTGCTGGTTGGGCATAGGCAGGTCCTTATATCTGCACTCCAGGCTGACTGGAAGTTCAGGGGTGTTTTCTTCTCACTTGTGGATGGCACTTGCCCCTTCAGCTAGCCAGAGGCTGAGGCTTCAGCTCATCCTCCCAGCAGGAGCTCAGTTTGCCCCTGGGCTATCACAATTTAACAATCCCTCCAGACTCAGCCATCAGCAGGACTTGACATAGATGCTCTTTTCATTTTTTCTTTTCTCTCTCCTACAGATACCAAATACTGCTGGAAGGATGAAAAAGATGAAAAGATGTCACAAAAAGTAGCTTTTCCGCTTGATGAAAAAAACTAAAACAGCAAAGCAAGTTGAAGTTCAAATACAACACTGCAGGGGTCCTTTGCTGAGGACTGAATTTTAGACACAGAACGCTCTTGATGATTTCAACCCACTAGGATCCATTGATTTGAGAAACCACAATCCGTCCCATTTCCACTTGTGATGAATACCCAAGGACACCAATTCCCAGATGGACAAACAGCATTGAGAGGCCTTAGCCCTGCTCCTCTCAATTCCATCCTGTAGAGAACAGGAGTCAGGAGCTGCTGGCAGGAGACAGTATGTCACCTGAGACTCTGCCGGTGCAGAATATGAACATTGCCATGTTCTTGCAGAAAACGCTTAGCCTGAGTTTCATAGGAGATAATCACCAGACAACTGCAGAATATAGAACACTGAGCAGGACAACTGACGTGTCTCCTTCACACAGTCCATGTCACCACGAATCACACAACAAAAAGGAGAAGAGACATTTTGGGTAGAAAGATAATGTAGCTACATTTCTTCAGTTATTTTGAACCCAAAGTATCTCCTCATCTTTTTGTTGTTGTCATTGATGGTGGTGACATGGACTTGTTTGTAGAGGACAGGTCAGCTGTCTGGCTCAATGGTCTTCATTCTGAAGTTGTCAGAAAATTTCCTTATGATTAAATTCAGCCTAAACATTTTGCCAGGAACACTGCAGAGTCAATGCTGTGAGTTTCCAACCTCAGCTCATCTGCAGGCAGAGAAGGTCCGGTTTGTCTGTCACCATTATTGTTATATCAGGACTGGTTATGTGGTTAAGGAGGGATCTGGGAGATCTGTCCTTTGTAAAGACACCTTATTTATAATTAATTTGGAAAGTGGTTTGAAAAAGGATAAATACCCCGTATTCTAACAATCTTCCTCTGAGAATTTCATCATCAATTAATCACCCCTGGCTGTGTCAGTTATTATATTTATGTTTGTACATTGGAAATTTCTATCTCAGTTCTTACTATGAACTTATTTCTGTTGGCATTCTGTTGTGAAAAAGAATATTCCCTGCCCAAATTTTAACTTTCATCCAGGACTAATTTTAGTCTATTAAAGTTAAAATGTTTATGTTTTAAATCTGTTTAATTAAAATATTCTTGCCTATCATTCTGGACTAGTAGATTTTTTTTTTTCATACAATGTTTTAAGCTTTTATTATGATTGGTTTTGGTGGATAAGGATACAGATTAATAAAAACATTATTATTTCCCTGTTTACATTTTAAACTCTTCCATATTTTAGTCTACATTTATCATATGCAGTAGTAGATGGTATTTACTACATTTCTTTATCAATGCTATTTTTTCTTTGTGTGGGTGTGTGTGTGTGTGTGCCTTTTGTTTGTTATTTAGGAAGGGTTGTGTAGCTCATGTTTAACATTGCACTGAAAATGTTTTGACATCACTAGTCCCCTTTTAACTTGACACACTTCTAATATTTGGTTTATAAATTTTTAATCATATCTTTTGAATTTAAATTTTTACCACTATGACAACCAAAGATATTATTTTCCTCTTCTCTGACCTCTTAACCTGCCATTTCTTGCAGTGTTAGTTCAACCCAAGCATATACCAGTGACAGCCTGTGTTTCCCACCTCGCCTCCACCTTGGCTTTTGGTTTAGGTCCACAATTAAACATGCTGATGCTCATGAACTATTCAGAAGTGAGTGTCCTGGGCATCACTTGTTGAAGGGAATTTATTCTTGGGAAAGTCTTCATGAGGGAATAGGGTCTCGCTGAGTTTTGCTTAATAACGTTTTCCCTCTGCCGTGGTACATGGTGCACATGACTAGATATAAGGTACTCGCCCAAAATGATTTTTCTTGAGTTTTTAGAAAATGTCTTGCTTTAGGGGACAGGGATGGTATGTGTTCCCATTCTGGGATTCTGTTTCATTCTACTGGACCTCTAATTTCTGCCAGTTACTTCATTCATTCTCTTCACCACAAGTCTCCAGAGGATGCTTCCTTTGTCCACACCTCCCCATCTCCCAGCAATTCTGGGTTTCCGAGCTTGCCACCTCTGGTCCTCTGCACCGTGAAGCCCCTTCCTTTCAATTCCCCAGTAGCCAGTGTAAGTATGGATTGATTAGTTCTATAATCAATTTTGAGTGAGTTTTAGTGCAAGTATGGATGTTTAGGTAGATTTTTTTTTCTTTCTTTGCTTATTATTCTTTACTACTAGGTCTCAGACATGATCTGTGTTTCTTCACACTCACTTTCTGAGGACAGTTTTACCTGTGTTCTGTCATGAACAGGCCCTCCCTGCTGTCCTAGCCTCTATTCACATAGTGTTTCCTGCTCCCTCTGCAGTTGTGTGGCTCCCAGACCCAGCTAAAGAAAATCACCCGAGGGCTACAGGGTTCTTTAGCCCTGGTGTTTAGGGGCAGAGTTCTGGGTGGTATTTTTGACTCCCTGCTAATTCCTAGGGCTTTGAAGTGTATGTTAAGAAAATCAGCTGTTATCCTATCCTACTTCTTCAAATGTGGAATTTCAATAGTATAAAAAAAGGAGACAGAATCATATAATAGAACTCCCTCATATTCATTGGCTAGCTCAGCATTTATCATTGAATAACTGAACTTTTAAAAATACAATCCTTCCTACTTATGAAATGTGTGTATACATATATATATATGTATAATGCATGTACATGTATGTGTGTATGTGTGTGTGCATATATACATATAAATTTGGACATATGATTACGGAGGCTGCAATTCCCAAGATGGAAAGCTGGATACCCAGGAAAGCATTTCCTTCTTATTAGGCCCTTTCCTTCTCCCCTGACCTTTGGTTGATTGGATGAGGCCCACCCACATTAGGGAGGACAGTCTGCTTCACTTAGTCTGTCTATTCCAGTGTTAATGTCATCCAGAAACACCCTCCAGCACACACCCAGAATAATGTTGGAACAAATGTCCTGGCACACTGGGGCTTGGTCACAGTGACACACACAATTAACCATTATACAGGTCCTTCATCATATGTGGGATTTTCATATTTTTCTCCCAATTTGTAGCATATGTTTTATTCTATTATCGATGTCTTGTGCTGACCAAGGATTTTTAATTTTTATGAAGTTGAATGTATTAATGTTTTCTTTAATGGTTTGTGTTGATACGATAACTAAGAATACTTCGTGCCTAACTCTACATCATGAAAATTTTCTCTTACGTTTTCTACTGTAAGTTTTCTAGATTTGCAGTTTACATTTAGTTGTATAACCAATTTTGAGTTAGTTTTTGTGCAAGTATGGATGTTTAAGTGGATTTTTTTTCTTTCTTTGTTAGTTGTTTTTTACTTCCACTTTTATTTTAAGTTCAGGGGTGCATGTGCAGGATGTGCAGGTTTGCTACATAGGTAAATGTGTGCCATGGTGCTTTGCTGCACAGATCATCCCATCACCTAGGTATTAAGCCCAGCATCCATTAGCTACTCTTCCTGATGCTCTCCCTCCCCCCACTTCCCACCCCCCGAAAGGGCCAAGGGTGTGTTGTCTCCACCCCGACCCTATCTGTCTATGTGTTCCCATCATTCATCTCCCACTTATAAGCGAGAACATGCAGGGTTTTGTTTTCTATTCCTGTGTTAGTTTGCTGAGGCTAATGGCTTCCAACTCCCTCCATGTCCATGAAAAGGACATAATCTTATTCCTTTTTGTGGCTGCATAGTATTCCATGTGTATATATACCACATTTTCTTTATCTAGTCTATCATTAAAGGGCATTTAGATTGATTCCATGTCTTTGCTATTGTGAATAGTGCTGCAGTGAACATATGTGTGCATATATCTTTATAACAGAATAATTTATATTCCTTTGGGTATATACCCAGTAATGGGATTGCTGGGTCAAGTGGTATTTCTGCCTTTATATTTTTAAGGAATCACCACACTGTCTGCCACAATGGTTGACAGTTACACTCCCACCAACAGTGTAAAAGCATTCCTTTTTCTCCAAAACCTCACCAGCATCTGTGAATTTTTTTCTATTTTTGCCTATGGATGTCCAGTTTTCTCAACACAATTTGTTGATAAGACAATGCTTTCTCTCCTGAATTGTTTTGAACCATTGTCCGTCCATTGGAGAGATGAGACTGGAGAGAGGACTGTCCTGATCATTGGAAGGACAGGGCCTGAAGTAGAGCAGGTCTTATGGAAAAGAAAATGAACACCTATTTTTCAGTGAGGCAGAGGAAAGCCCCAAGCACAAGTGAGGTACTCCCTACCCCCATGTGTGGCACACTCGCCTCTGCTCTCTCTGCCTCTCCTGCTGCACAATCTTGGGTGTGCACAGACACTGAAGCTGAGTTGTGTCACTGGGCACATTTAGGCATTGACATCAAATGTGTGGCATCAAATCCCAGAATCTCAAACAGGCAAAGTGGCAGGAAAACATGAGACTTAATGAAGAATGAAATAATTCATTGAAAATGACACATATGTTAGAAATAGCAGGCAAGGACTTTACAGCAGTTATTATAATTTTAATTAAGTGAAGATGTGGGAGATACTTTTAAAATATCAAGTTCCATAAGTGAAAACTACATTTTACTGTCTGAATTTTTTTAAAAAATGCACTGGATTGAACATTGCAGAGGGAAAGATTAATGAATTAGAGGGAATAGCAATAGAAACGAACACAAATGAAACACACAGGAAAAAATGAATTTAAGAAATAAAAAGCCCATCAGTGGGAAAACTTTAAACACTCTACTAAATGGAATCCCTGAAGGGAATGGAGTGGGTAAGAGGGATAGAAAAATATTTAAAACATACTGGATGAAAGCTTTCAAAGCTTCATGAACACCATAAACCCCAAAAAACCAAGAAACATAATGTATTCTGATATCCCAAAGTCTGTGCTCTCTTCAGAAAAGAAAGTTCAGCATAAAGCACTCAACCAGGAGTCAAGATATTGTATTTTCAACTGTTATTTCAACAGCTGTATTATAACAGGCCAGTTTATTTCATGCCTTTCTAATTTGACCTAAAGTGCTGGGTGGCACTGGGACTGGCACAGCCTTGCTCAATTATGTGTTGAAGAGTATACAGAGACTGCCAGGCTGAGGGAAGATGCAAGAGAATAGAAGAGATGTTCACAGGGAACAACAGACCACAAGGCCCCAGAGTCAGAGGCAGCATCAGCCACTGTTGGCTGCTCATTTTCTCAGACAGAGCCCACAAGCCTCAGCCATGCTTTGCTTCTGCAAGATGCTTCTTCAGCTTTTCAATAAACCTGCCTGAATTTAAGCTGATGGGAGTTTATTTCTCCTTCGTCATAAATGAAATTCTTCACCACAACAATCTCCAATGAATTGTGGGCACAGCAGGCAGGCCCATCCCTGCTTCTGTTCCACCATCTCCCCTGTAGGTTGAAAAGGAGGAGGTACTGAATTACCTCCAAATGTTCCTTTGGCTCTGATGGTCTGTTATTTTGGTTTCTTTTCGGCTACTTTGTTTTTGGAAGCATGTGTCCTAAGGCGTCTGGTTGAACCACCTTTGTCTACTGTGTCCAGGCATTCCTGGTGGTATTTCAGAAAAGACACTCTTGGGTTACTGCACTCACAACCACTGAACCAATTCTATGACCATCTGTTTCATGGCCACATGTTTGCTCATTTTTTATGTACATAAAGGGAGGGGACAGACAGCAAACTTGCATGTTATAAATTGTATCATCTTACAAAGGAAATAAAGCAACACTGTGCAATAAAACCTTAAGATGCATTAATTTGATGCATTAATTTTAATCCTAATGCAATAAAGAATGCAATAAAAATGCCCATAAAAATTTTATCTAAAGAATCAAGGGACATCATCATTTAAAGTGATATGAAGAAACCTTCTCAGCTAAGCATATGGGCTAGATTAGAGAGAAAAATAAAGGACCCATCTCTGCCCTGGAAAAACTACCGGTAGCATCTCTCAGAAAGCTCTCTGTG